ACTGACGAGAACAATTAGCAGCAAAGTTGGAAGTGAATCTGTCAACGCGCCATCGCAAACGATCAACAGATCCCGGAGCATCTCGCATGCTGTCGTCGGCATTTTTCGCGTACAGGGTTCACAGGTACGTGGACCATAGGATGACCGTTTGAACCAGAACCATGCCAGAGAGGGGGTATTTTGCGAGTCCCCCTGATTTGAACTGATCGCTGCACTGCACTACCTGCCGCCACTCTGACTACAGACAGGTAGTTGTGTTTCTGGTGATGACTGATCAAGTGATCATGACAATAATTGTCGTGACCAGAAATGCTTCGAACCAGTGAGTCGTAAAATACCTTGGAATTTGTATTTACGACTGCCTGCTTGGAATAGAGGCAAGAGTAGATCTACTAGTAGTCTGCAACCCCACATGGGTTGGGTTATGATGCACTGTTGGTAAAAGCCGTTGTAGTGATAGGAGCTCTTCTGCTCGTGATTTTCGCAACAAAATAATGACTCCCCGGCTATCACGCTGTTAGGTATCCAACAGCAGGGAGTAGCAGTGTACCGTATTGTACAGGGAGTCGTAAAATACCGGTATTTTACGACTCCCTGGTATTGTCCTACTCCCTGTCCAACAGGTAAGTGGTTATACGACTCTCTGGTATCCAAACGATTTCGAACTTTCCCAGTCGTCTTCTGCATGTGCCAGGGACTCCTCCCTGCTGCCTGCTATGTACTGGCCCAGCGCCCATGCTTTGAGTACATGAACCCCATGAACTTTGAACTCCCAAGATCACTCCCTACACATGGTGCGCATGGATATGGAAGGGTTGTGGACACATTCGTCGTGGAAGTGTGTGTAAAAACAATGAAATTGTTCAATAGATCTACCATGGCATGAGTAATAAGCTCCCAGGGAACCTAATACTCCGGGTAGATCTACATCTGCCCTAGACTATGTCTTCTTCTCTTAGTCTTTGCTCACCTATTGCTCATCACTTCTTTTACAGATTTGGTATTATGGAAAGTTTGGAAACCGCCTCGATAGGCGAAAGCCTTTGGGGAATCCTTAAAAACAATGAATTACAAAATTACATGTAGAGACTCTGAGTCAACCGAATCGAGACAAAGAATGAAAGTAAAGTTTTCCATGCAGCGACGTTTCTCTCTCAGCAAGAACGACGCGGACACGTACAAGAGCTGCCGTGTCCCTCTAGCGCTAAAATCACAATTGCACCGTCGCAACTCTGATGATTGTCACTTGTGCAAAACCACCACATTTTGGGATTGATTTGCTGAGGTCCTAGTGTGGCATGATAAACTACAATGTTGGGTGTCCAAACGCTCACTCCGCCCAACCTACAGTCCATTTCAAAACTATAGACGCGTACCTAGGCAAAAACCGTTATGCCAGCATCTATACCACATAAAATCTGTGATCACTTATTATTATTATTATTATTATTATTTTAATATGGCAATAAGTAGGACGAGCTGAAGCGACATGTGGACTACTTTATTAACAATGTAAGCGATGGAGACGATGCAAGAAACAACCTAAAGGGTAAGGAAAAATACATGTAAGAAGAAAAAGGGCAATGGAAAAAAAAAAGATGATTCGAACAAGTTTTCGTACAACACTCTTCAGGAATCACCGTTGTACTAAAGAACAAAATGAGAACAAAGGAAATAATATAGCAATCAAGGTAGGGTGACACGATACAATGACAGCACTAGAATATCGAGGTGCGATTTCTCACAAAAGTGTGCAGAAAACAAGGGTATACAAGTAAGAACTAAGCGTGACAAGTGTGTATCAGCAACAAAAAACAAAAACAAAAAAAGTGAGAACGAATGATAATAATAACAATAATAAACAAGAAGGTGACAAAACACATTTAGGCACAAGTGGCAACAACGTTGCCACACTACACAACAGAACATTATTTGAACAATTTTAGGGTAATAACACTATCTTTCTGGACACACAAATTCGGCTTATGAATGCGCTGACAAACAGCTTCCAAAACTTGTAACTGCAAAAGATAACCATGACGAGCACGGCACAAAACAGAAAAACAGGAATCAGAATAAGTACGACAACAGTCAGTACTAGAAACCAAATGATTGTATACTGAAGACTTGTTATTACGAGACGGACGCACACAATCTCGACTCACGCGCACACCCTCACACTCCCTCTCACCCTCACTCAGCTCACCTTCTCCCTCACTGTCCGAATCAGAACCTGCTCCGTCATCCACCGCGGTTTGACTCTCCTCCTCACTTGCATCGTCCTGCGTCTCACCTTCACCACCCACGCCAACCCTGAATGCCGTTGCCTTCACGTCAGTCGTCGTCCTTTCCGATTGTTTCCTTTGTATTTTTACCGTGAATTCATAGGTCCGGTTGTAATCTGCTGTAGATCTCCGTGGTCTGTCATTTGCTGCTTTGTTTTGTGGATTAGTTGTTGTTGTTGTTGTTGGATGTGAACCTGGTGTTGTTGTTGGATGTGAAGCTGGTGTTGTTGTTGCCGCCATGGTTGTTGGTCTTTCTGTTGAATCCAGCTCTGGTTCCGGTGGGACAAATCGACCACCACGGGTGCTCCCCACCAACACAGACCTCGAAGGAGGAGGGTCAGGGGGAGGCAGAGGTGCTGTCACCACTCGAGGCACAGCCCCATGCAAAGCACCCAGAGGCACAGACTTAGGCACACCCGAGGGCTGCACCAGTGGCGGTTCCGCACGCACCTCCAAAGAGCTGCCAAGCTCCAGCCCGTCCAACACAGATGTCAGAGGGGGAGCGGCAGACAGCGGCAGGGAACTATCCTGCCGTCTAGGTGATGGGTTTTTCCTAGGCCTCCCGCGTTTGGGCCTCTCAGATTGCGCACTGGGTGGAAGGATGTGAAGTGGAGTGTGTTGTTTGATACGTGCGTTCAGGTGCTGAACAGTCCTACCAACATACCGACTAGCACAATGTCGGCATTCGAAGTTGTAGATAACATGACTGAGGTGGAGGGTTGGTAGGACGTCCTTCCGCACCGTGAACGCACGCATTGTTGTGAAGACTGGCACAAAATGTACTGCGTAATAAGTACGACGGACGATAGACTTGACTGCGTGACACACTTTGATCGATTCCTGCCCCTTCCATGGCAAACATAGATAGACGGGACAGCGAGGTGGACCAATCAGCACCGATTTCGGTTTCTGCTCCATGGACAGAAACTTACGCAACAAGAATTCCGGGTAGCCATTCTTCAAGAAAACAGATCGAAGGAAATCGAGCTCGGCCTGCTGCTTACTGGGCGAACAAATACGTTTCGCACGGTCCACGAGGTTACGAACTAAGTTGACCTTGTATTGAAACGAACAATATGAATCGAAGGCAATGTACTGACCGGTGAACGTAGGCTTACGATACACAGAAGTCAACATTTCACAGCCAGTCTTCTCTACAAGCACGTCTAGAAATGACAACTTACTAGACTGCTCGTGCTCACAAGTAAAGCGGAGGGAAGGATGTAGGTTGTTGAGCACATCGAGAAACAATTCACTGCTCTCAACACTGTCAAAATGCGTGAACGAATCGTCAACAAAACGCACGTAGAACGCGGGCCAAAGCGACTCATCAATCTTGCACTCACAATAACCAACGAATATATTGGCGAGGACGGGACCAAGAGGAGATCCCATCGCCACACCATCTACTTGCTTGTACATCACATCGTTGAACGAAAATTCGACACCAGTTGTAACTGACAGCATCAAATGACGAAACGCCACTTCCGATACCCATGGAGTATCAACATCATCGTTACGGTACAATACATCCATACAGATGTCAACAGTCTCATCAATAGGAACATTCGTAAAGAGACTTACAACATCGAAGGAACACATGTGTGCATTGAGAGGGACCGGACTATCACGAAGCCTCGCAACAAAGTCGAAGCTATCCTTCACAGTGCGTTTGCAATAGAAATCTTGAACAGGCTGTAGGTAGATGCACAGCCATTTCGAGATAGAGTATTGAGGGGAGGCGGTCATGGATACTATTGGTCTAACAGGGCATGTAGGTTTATGAATTTTAGGAAGGCCATAGAGTCTAGGGCGAAGGGTACCAGTCGGTTTGATGCGATCGAATTCATGTTTTGATATTTGTTCTTCATTCTTTAGCTTCTTAAGGTAAGTTACAAGATCCTTTTCTACTTTTTCAGTTCGATCACAGGTCTTGACCGGACCAAGTGTACGGAACTTTGATGTGTCATTTAGGATAACGGACATCTTCTCGATGTAGTCAGTTTTATTCATTAAAACAGTTGCACGACCCTTATCCGGGCGCGTGACAATAATGTCTTTGTTATTACGTAGCTCATGCAGGGCTTTGAGATGTTCGCGTTTCAATGAAAACGTTCTTCTATCCGGTAATGCATCAGCGTGTTCCTCGGCCTCTGCCCGGATCTTTGCGGCGCAAATGGACTGTTGTGACTCGGACACCGGTCTGAAGCGTAATAACTTGCGGTAAAAGAGCTCAAACTCGGTCATGATTACTTCCTTCTTGTTTGATTTTGGTGGAATCCCGAAATCGGTTCCACGACAGAGGAGCTCTTTCTGAAGAGTGGTCAACTCTAGTGATGTCATGTTAATTATGGTAGTATCAGGATCGATGGTGACATGTCCATATCGTTTCTGTCTTAGCCAATTGTAGGTCTTGTCATGTTTTGTGATTAGATGGATACGTTGTTTCTGGTCATTTTCCGAAAGGAGCATAGAGAATCTCAAGAAGTCGTGAGAGGAGAGAAGGCAGCGTGCACGATCATACAAATACCTAAACCGCGAACGTGACTTTGACAAAGTGTCGCAGGACCGGGCAATCTCGTCTTTCATGAATACGCGTTCGATGTTTAACGTGTGGTAAGCTTTGGTCCTGCGGACACGGTTCTCTACACCACCTGGACAAACACCATTGTCCAGACAACGTCTAAGGAACACTACGTTAAATGCAACACTACG